CGGATATCGTTGCGTTGCGATAGAACAATATCTAAAGTGCTTCGCACCCCTGTATCGCTGATGCATGCAATAAGCACACCACCTATAGGAAGTGTGAGTATAAAATCTGCAAATACCTGAAACACCTCCTGTTCGTGTTTGAAGTAGTCTGTATGATCCCACTCAGCATTCAGAAACACAATACCAGTAGGAATAAAGTTCATAAGATGCCCTCTATACTCACACACTTCAGCAATGAATGCCTCTGCCCCATCCATAAAGCATGCGTTGTCATTAAATGCAGCAACTCGAGCTCCAGTAATAGCGCTTACTGGAAGATTCTGTGAACGTGCTAATGCCCCTATAAGTGCGGTGCATGATGTTTTACCATGCGTTCCTATAACCGCCCACGAATCCTGCATCTGAGAATACAAACCCAATGCTTCAGGGTAGGAATAGGTAGTACAATTCTGCTTAGCAAAGGCTAGCTCTACATTATTTTCTCTAGTATATGCCGCAGAATATATTACCATTTCAATATCTTTGGGGATATTGCTGGGGCTAAAATGGGTATAGTATGGTATACCAGCACTGTGCAGCATTGCATCAGTATAAAAGACATCTTCGGTATCGGATCCTGTTATTTTATGACCTAGTGCATGAAGCAGTAACGCTAACGCAGCCATACCACTCCCTTTTATACCTATAAAATGTACATGCAGTGGGAATATTTTCACATAGCTATCCTTGCATACAGTGTACTGTGTTTGCAGTATCTATACTGCAGTTGTGCTATGCCAACCTTACTATAGGGAAGATAAGTGATGCAGTCATGTATATTTATCTTGTATGTGGTATAATTTGCTTAGATACATTACGCTACTTTGTATAGAAACACTATTAAGAAAGTAAGGATCAGGAGGATTTTCTTGAATTATTTAACTATTTTCCAAAAGCAAGCAATCATGCGGAGGGTTTGCTACGCTATAACACCACTATTTCTCTATTCAATCTTTTTGTATGGGTACAGCCCAATATACCAAGTTGCAGTAGCATTTCTTGTAGGGATTGCTACAGAATACTTTTTTGAAAGAACAAGGAATAAAAAGGTGTCTGAAGCTGTTTTGGTAACATGTTATCTCTATGGACTTTCTCTGCCACCAGGTCTGCCTATATGGATGAATGCAGTGGGTATTTTCTTCTCTGTGTTTATTGCAAAATGTATATATGGCGGTTTTGGAAGAAATGTATATAACCCAGCTATTACTGGAAGATTATTTATCTATCTTGCATTTCCTACAGCGCTTACTACCATGTACTGGCATCAGATATCCTCTGGTGCTACTCAATTTGCTGGTATTCTCGGCTCTGTGGACAGTATAAGCTCTGCAACCCCATTGGTATTATTGCAGCAGGGTATCATTCCACCTCTTGGGCAGCTCTTTTTTGGCTTGCGACTAGGGTCGCTAGGAGAAGGATGTATAGCTTTGCTTATAATAGTTGCACTGTACATGATATTCACAAAAACAGCTGACTGGAGGATGATACTCTCCACCCTTATAAGCGCACTACTCTTTCTTACGCTTTTCTATGCTCTAGGAATGATGAGAGGATTTCAAAATCCCCCTTCATTTTCTGAAGGTATCAATGTAATTTTTGCGTATCTCATGTCTGGTTCGCTTGTGTATGTTGCGGTATTTATGACCACAGATCCTATTTCCGGGCCTAATAAAGCACAATCAAAGTGGGTTTACGGCTTTATCATTGGATTATGCACAGTACTTATACGCTTGTTCAGTGGATTCCCTGAGGGAGTCAGTTTTGCTGTTATGATTGGAAATACCTTTGCATGTCTTTTGGATGAAATATTTACTACAAAGAGCAAAAATACGAAAACAGCAATTAAAAAAGCATCTACACATGCAATAATTACTTCAATTAGCACTGATAAGGAGCAATAAATGAAAAATTCATTTATATATACAGTTTTTTTTACTTTTATTACATGTTTTGTACTTGTATTGTTTTTATCCTTTACTAATGCATTTCTCGAAACACGAATAGAAGAAAATAAAGCATTTGAGAAAAACCAAGCGATACTTCTTTCGTTAGGGGTAAACACAAACGATGTAGACAGCAAAGAAAAGGTACAGGTGCTTAAAAATGACATAGAAACAACAACAAGAAATGGCAGGGAGTATTTCTTCGGCAATTTTGGCACGGCAGCACGAGCTACTTATTTTACTGGACCGGGGCTTTGGGGGGACATATCGGGATACATTGCATTTACAGAAAGTGGTTCTGAACTGCTAGGTTTTCAAATTACAGATCAAAATGAGACACCTGGATTAGGTGCTCGGATAACAGAGTCTTGGTTTTATCAACAACTTGAAGGGGAAAGCGTGGTAAATGATACCATTGTTGTTGCTTCTGGGGGTGTTGGCGATAAGGACAAGAGAAATGGAAGGATCGACGGTGTTACAGGAGCCACAAGAACCAGTGAAAGTATCCAGGCAATACTCAGTAGGTATATTAACTATTATTTGGAAGATTGGAGATAGACATGCTAAAAATATTAAAAGATAATCTTTGGACTAATAATCCTATTTTTATGCAAGTGCTAGGCATCTGCTCGGCATTAGCAGTAACAAATCTTATGATCAATACTCTTATTATGAGTTTTGGGGTTATAGCAGTGACCGGCTTGAGCAGCTTTACTATTTCAATTATTAAGTCTCTTATCCCTCGTAAGGTACGCATGATTACGCAAGTTATCGTTATTGCATTCTATACTGTTATTGTAGATATGGTGTTTGAAGCATACGTTCCTAATGTATCAAAAGCACTTGGTCCATATGTAGGGCTCATTATTACAAACTGTATCATCATGGGAAGGGCAGAGGCTTATGCTCAATCTAATCCCCCTATCCCCGCACTATGGGATGGTATTACGAGTGGTTTGGGATACATGCTTGTGCTCTTTGCTATTTCAATATGTAGGGAGCTACTAGGGTTTGGTACCCTTTTTGGTGTTCAGGTATTTCCTGAAAATGCTACTACTTGGGCTATTATGGTTACTCCATCTAGTGCTTTTTTCTTCCTTGGAATATTCATTTGGATAGGCAAATCCATACAGCAACGTTCTTCAGTGCAGGTAGCAACGCCAGCTGCAGCTGCACCAGCGAAATAAAGGAGGCTATGATGATAAGCGCACCAGCAGTAGGACCTATAACAATTTTTTTTGCTTCAGTGTTTACTAGCAATATACTACTCTCTAACTTTTTAGGCATGTGTTCATTTATAGCAATTTCAAAAGACATAAAATCATCGTTTGGTCTTGGTTTAGCAGTTACCGTAGTACTTGTTCTTACCACGGTAATTAACTGGCTTGTATATTACTATGTACTTGTTCCATTCGAACTTGAATACCTACGATACATAGTCTTTATTCTTGTTATTGCAGCTATTGTACAAATTCTTGAAATGTTTATAGATCGCGTATCCCAGCAATTATATATTACCCTGGGAATTTTTCTCCCACTTATTACTGTAAACTGCGCTATATTGGGTGCAGCGTTATTTATGCAGATCAGGAGTTACAACTTTGTGCAAACCATTGTATTCAGCATAGGCGCAGGCATAGGGTGGTGGATAGCAATTCTTGCCTTAGCTGCAATGAGAAAACAAAAGATCGAGAAAGCACCCATCCCCGAGGGGCTTAAGGGTGCGGGTATAGTATTTATCACTATAGGATTGATGGCAATGGCATTCACTGGATTTTCGGGTATGCTGCCAATACAGTAAAATAAGGAGTAGAAACAAGATGTATATACTAGCCCCATTAGTGCTCGGAATAGTCAGTGCTGTACTTGCGGCATTGATTGACATATCAGATAAGGTGCTTAACAATTATGGTACATGTAAAATAAACGTGAATAACGGCGACAAAGAACTATCCGTAAAGGGTGGATCCCCCCTTCTGCTTACACTAGCTGAGCAGAAAATATTCGTACCCTCAGCCTGCGGAGGCAAGGGAACCTGTGGAGCATGCAAACTACAAATGCCAAACAATACAGATCCGGTGCTTCCTACGGAGCTCCCCTTCTTCAATAAAGAAGAGTTAGCCAATAAAACAAGGCTTGCATGCCAGGTAAAGGTAAAGAAAGATATTGACATTGCAATCCCAGAGGAGTTATTTAATGTTCAAAAACTCGAATCAACGGTAAGTAGCATAGTAGATGTTACCTATGACATAAAGGAAGTACGCCTATCTATATCAGAAAATCTAAATTCGTTTAAGCCAGGTCAGTACATGCAATTTGAAACACCAAAGTATAAGCATAATAAAAAAACATTTGACACAACATTTAGAGCATATTCACTTGCTTCAAGCCGAGGCTCAAAAAATGAACTAGAATTTCTTATTCGATTAGTACCGGGTGGGGTTGTAACTACCTATACCCACGAATATCTAAAAGTAGACCAAGCTATTAATGTTATTGGGCCCTTTGGAGATTTCTATGTACGAGATACAAAAAATACTATGATTTGTGTAGCGGGGGGGTCAGGAATGGCACCTTTTCGATGTATCTTTAGAACTATGCTGGAGCAAAACACATTTACAGAAAGGGAAATTTGGTATTTTTTCGGAGCTAAAGCCATTCGTGATATGTACTACATGTCTTGGCTCTATGATTTAGAAAAGAAATACAAAAACTTTCATTTTGTTCCCGCTCTCTCTGAACCTCAACCTGAGGATAACTGGAATGGACCTGTAGGGCTTATTACTGAGGTGCTTGATAAGTATCTGAAAAAGGACATTGATAGAACGAATACCTTAGAAGGATACCTATGCGGTAGCCCTGGAATGCTAGATGCATGTATGGCGGTAATGGGCAAAAATGACATGAAGGAAGAAAATATCTTCTTTGACAAATTTGCCTAATTAATGTCTAGTACATTTGGCACTTTACTTAAACTCAGTACTTTTGGCGAATCTCATGGTGAGGGAGTTGGTGTAATACTTGAAGGTGTTAGCCCTGGTCTAGAGCTACATGAAGAAGACATACAAAAAGAACTGGACAGGAGAAAACCAGGGCAATCAGACATAGCTACGCCACGTAAAGAATCTGATACAGTGCATATTCTCTCTGGCGTATTCGAAGGAAAAACCACAGGCACCCCACTGATGATGCTTCTTTATAACAGTGATATACAATCGAAAGATTACAACTCTATAAAGGATTACTTTAGACCTGGACATGCAGATTTTACCTATCTTCAAAAATATGGTTTTAGAGATTGGAGAGGAAGCGGAAGAGCAAGCGGAAGAGAAACCGCAGCACGTGTAGCAGCTGGAGCCGTAGCAAAAAAAATTCTTTCCAAAAAAGGAGTGCGTATCATAGCATACACGTATGAAGCAGGGGGAATTGCTTGTAAGAGTATTGACACTACTGTTATTGAGAAAAACCCAATGCGTGCTGCAGACATGGATGCGGCAGCTCAAATGCTGGAACGTGGCTTAGCACTAAAAAAAGAACAAAACAGCATGGGGGGCATTATTACATGCATTATACAAGGAGTAAGAGCTGGTATTGGAGAGCCTGTATTTGATAAACTTGACGCATTACTCTCTCATGCTATTATGTCTATTGGGGCAGTAAAGGGAATAGAGTTTGGGTCAGGTTTTGCTGCTAGTAAGATGACTGGTCGTGAACATAATGATGCAATGACTGCAAAGGGCTTCGATAGCAATAATGCTGGGGGAATACTTGGGGGCATATCTACAGGTGAAAATATTATTATACGTATAGCAGTGAAGCCTGTTTCTTCAATAGCTAGTCCGCAAAATACTCTTTCAATTACCGGGGTAGAATCTGTTATTTCCACAGAAGGTAGACACGATATCTGTATCTGCCCAAGAATAATACCAGTGGTGGAAGCTATGTCCGCATTGGTGCTAGGTGACTTATATAAGAGACATGAGGCACTATTTATATAAACACACTACATAATCAACAAGAAATATATAGCAGTATTTAAGATTATCAGTGTTGGATATGCTAGGAACCCTGTTATTCTTCTATTCTTCTCTATTCTTCGGGGCTAAATTCATCCTTTGGGGCTCCGCACAGCGGGCATACCCAATCTTCGGGTAAATCTGCAAATTTCTGTTCCAGCCGGGATATCGTTATCTGTATCTCCTTCTTCTGGATCGTATATATAGCCACAAACATTACAAACGTATTTCATTTTTCTCTCCAATTATCAGTTTTGTTTAATTTATTTGTATTAGTCTATCCTTCTTTATAATATAGCAAAACTAAAAACTAAAAAATAACTGGGTGGTTTACTAGCGCTTCTATATCAAACGGCACTAGAAAAAGCATTATTGCTTCTTTGTTTTTTTTGTTTTTCTTACCTGATTATTCTGTATCTTTGCTTCTAACATAGCCTTATGTATTACTGAAAAACCAAATAGTATTAGTATGAGCGGTCGTATAATGAAGCCCAAGAATGATGTATCAAGTATATCCAGCATAGATAGTATAAGAAACATACCCATCGCTACAAGAACAGTGCCGATAATAAAAAAGCGGACATTCATTTTATTGTTAGTCTTACGTATAGCATACATAATAGCTGCATACAGTACCATTCCTATACCAAGCCCAGTGATTACTGCTACCCATAACAGCTTACTTTCGAAAAATGTTACCACCCAAATAATAATCAAGAATTCTGCTAGGAAAAAGAAAATTTTATGCAATGAAAACAGGAAGAAGCATGTAAAAAAGTAGAGTCCTGAAATAAGAAACAAAAAATCGCTGTATTTACTTAACGTAGGGAATAAAGATGCCATTAGCACATATATCCCAATAGCAATTAAAAAAACCCCGATGGTTACACCAGTGTTTTGGGAAAATGCTACTTGTTTTTGTTTCTCACTCTTAGAGCGATTTTGTACAGCTGTCTTTTCGCTGTTCTGTTTTTTCTGAGGTTCTACATCATGAGCTTGAAGATGCCCTTCACGCACTTCAGTTGTAGATTCCTCGGAATGTTCATTACTAGAATTTTCATTACTAGATGTAACCTTAGCTTCTATGCTGTCACCTTGCTGTTCTTCTGTGCTTTCCATATTTATATTATACTATAAAATTGGCAATAATTATAGTTGCTGAGCGTGGTAATCTCTCAGTGTCTTCTTTTGCCTAAGCAATTCACACATGGTAGTAATTCTTTTCTGCACTGTTTCTTGCTTCTTAGCCGACTGAATCCACTCTATATACGCATTTTTATGGCTTGGAGCTAGCGCATCGAATACTACGCGCAGATGGGTGTTTTTGTGAAATACATCAAGTATTTCTGCCCCCATATCCATAACATGTACAGGGCTTTTTTTCCTGGTAGATCTTTGTTTTGCAGTTATGTTCTGTGCATCATATTCGAGACTTAGCATAATGTATTGTTCAATTTTCTTTAATCGTGCTGAATCTAATACATCTTTTTCAAAGAAATATATACTTCTACTTTCCTTATTCTTGGTACTTGCAAAGAGGGTGTATACATCCTCTATAAGAGCGCCATTGAAAAAAAGAAAGTTTAGGTGCTTCTTAAAACCCCAAAAACCAAAAAGTAGGTTATTTCCGATAATTGTTGCCTGCCCCCATTTTATGTCTTCTTTTAAGGCAATATTGAACTTCTCTGCACATGCTACAACACTCTGTAGAAGAAGCTCTGAGATCGTCCTTTGCCAGCTATGTAATGCTTGAAATGCGTGTGCTAGTTTTTTTTCTATATTGTTACTCTCTGCTTATTTTGAAAATTTTTCCTCGATTTTCATCAGTGATAAAATACAAATTCGTATCCGGACCCTGCCGTATAGAGCGTATTCGCCCTATGCGACGTTTGAGGATAGGCTTTACATCTAGCACTTTTTTTCCTTCGTCATCAATATCTACATGAAATATCTGTTGAAATTTAAGAGCTGAAGCAAAGAGGTCTCCATTCCATTCAGGAAAAGCCTTCCCGTAGTACACTGTAAGACCAGAGAGTGCTGGTGAGATTTCCCAATAATGCAGTGGTTCTTCCATTCCTTTTTTGCTTGTACCCTCTCCTACTTGGAGGCCGCTACTGTATTCCTTTCCGTAAGAGACTACAGGCCATCCGTAGTTGGGAAGAGTACTGCTATTCATATGTATAAGATTGAGTTCATCTCCTCCTTTAGGTCCATGCTCTGTTGAATATAACAGTGCTCTTAATGGATCATAGTACATACCCTGCGGATTTCTGTGCCCATAGCTGATGATTTCGTGCTTCCCCTTCTTTTCTATGGGGATAGCTACTATTGTTCCATGATCAGAGTCTAGGTTTTGCGCCTGATTTCTCTGTCCTCGCTCTCCTAATCCTAAGAAAATAGCATCATTACCCTTTCTTTCCCCTAACGCAAGCATTCCCCCAAAATGTATCTGTGAACCTACCGTCTTATTCATTTTATACAAAGATCGTACCTTTCTTGCTTGTATAGTAGTAGTGTTAGAGTGGATATCTTTTTCTCTCAATTCAAAAGATATAAGCGCAGTCACATTTGATGATTTTTTTCCTTTAGAGTAACTAAGATAAATAATGTTATTTGGCCCCTGAACAACATCCAACCATCCTCCTTGCCCAGACTGGACAACATCCCTTGGAAGTTTTGTGATTTTCTTTATTTTCTCATTGACAAGCAACCAAACTGACCCATTTCGTTCGGTAACTATCATAGGATGCTGTACTGCTTTGCTGTCACTTGAGATATACCATGTAATCCCCCATGGATGATTTAATGTGCTGTACAACTCTTCTACAAGTATGCTATACCCTTGCGCTTCCTGCGTATAGCGCAGGGCACTAGAGCGGCCTTTTGTGTATCTTGGTGTTGCATGACTTGTTACTACTACATATGATACAAAAACCATAAGTAACAAGACAGAGATAAGTTTATTTTGTATCTTCATGTTTTTATTTTATCATATACTATGTATAAGCATGAAAGCAGTACGCATTCCAACAAAAGACAGCGCAAACGCTACACATACTATCCTTCCACTTATTGAAAATCCAGTACAGGCTGGCTTTCCCTCTCCTGGAGGGGATTACGAAGAGAAGGAGCTGGATTTCAATACACTGCTTGTACAGCATCCTGCTGCTACTTTTTGTTTACGAGTAGAGGGAGATTCTATGTCTGAAGCCGGTATAGATACTGGAGACATACTAGTAGTGGATAGATCTTTAGTGCCACAGCATAATGATATAGTGGTTGCTAGTATAAACAATGAATTTACACTCAAAAGATTTATTGTAACAGGAGGAGTAATGTTCCTACATGCAGAAAACAAGCACTACCCTGATATAGAAATTCAAGGATCAATGGAACTACTGATATTTGGTGTTGTTTCCTCTGTGATAAAACAATTTAGAAAATGATAGGTATTGTAGACTGCAATAGTTTCTACGTTTCCTGCGAAAGAGTGTTCCGCCCTGATCTTGCACATACCCCTATAGCAGTACTCTCCAATAATGACGGATGCATTGTAGCTATGAGCCGAGACTTGAAACAACAAAATGTTAAGCGGGGGGCTCCTTATTTTCAATACAAGGACATTCTTAACAAACTATCAGCCGTAGTGTTTTCAAGTAATTACACGTTGTATCAATCGCTTTCTAACAGGGTTATGTATATATTGAGAGAAGAATGTCCATCTATAGAAACGTATTCCATCGATGAAGCATTTATTGAACTCTCTGGCGTACAGAATATTGAGCAATTTTGCAAAAGACTAAGAACTACACTGCTCCGTAGCACAAGCATTCCTATCTCTATTGGAGTGGGAAGAACAAAAACGCTCGCTAAGGTTGCGTTACATAGAGCGAAGACCCTAACACAAAATATCTACATACTCTCCCCAAGCAAGGAAAGCTCTGTACTTGAAGCAACTCCTGTAGAAGATGTATGGGGGATTGGGTACAAAAAAGCAATGCGCTTACACAATGCTGGCATTGATACCGCACTTGCGTTTAGAGAGCTTAACGAAAGCTATGTTGCGAAAACATATGATGCTGTAAGCTGGAAAACACAGCGTGAACTGCGAGGGCTGCACTGCTTTGACTTGCACATAGAATGTAATGTACGAAAGGGTATACTCTCCTCGCGATCGTTTGCAAAAGCAGTGCAAAATAAAGATGAATTATACTACGCTCTCGCTTCCCATGCAAACACTGTAGTATACAAACTTCAATCACAGCAATGTTCTGCTCATAGTATATCCATACATCTGCGTAGCAAAACTGATACCCCTAAAAAATACACGTATCATTCCACATCGTATTCGCTATCTGTGGCTTCCGCAGAGTTACGTGTATTCTTACATATCATTCGCAAAGGTGTAGAGGCACTTTTTATCCCACAACAACGTTATTCTAAATGTGGTGTTTTCCTCAGTGGAATAGAGCCTTACAATGCACAAAATGATATTTTCGAAGAAAACTACGAGAAGAAGCAAAGGCTGCATTCTGTGCAAAGAAAATTACAAAGGCAGTATGGAAAGTCAGCGTTTACATTGCTACCTGCAATACATAAAGGAAGCTGGAACATGCGACAAAACCTGCTCTCTCCACATTACACCACACATTGGAATGATCTTCCGCTAGTGTATGCACACTGATGTCTTACAAACAGATGACACAAAGCATATCAAGACATATCCTGAGGTACCCATATGTACTCAGATCCATCTCCACGTTGTATAGTTCCTAGTGGATGATCGTTTTCATGCACAAGATATACAAGCATTTGCTCTTGCACGGCCATATCCATCAACTTGCGTTTTTCTTCTACTACCTGATACGAGCAATAATCATAACTGCAGGCCCAGTGTATTGCGAGATGATGTCTTGTAGGGAGAATGTCTGATGGAAACAGCACTTTTTTTCCATCGTTCTCTATTATAATGCATGTATGTCCTAATGTATGTGCTGCGGTCTTTCTTATACGTATACCACGTAATGGTTCACTCTCTTCTTCTTGTATGAGCGTGAGGCGTCCTGCTTCGTGCACGGGAAGAAAGTCCAATGTGTTATATGATGCTGAGCTCAGTTCGTTGCCACCGCATGCATAGTCCCATTCTGCGCTGTGTGCATAATGCTGGGCGTTGGGAAAACTTATATGCACAGCAGGTTCTGAATCTGTGTCGGTATCATATACATAATGAGTAAGCGTTCCAGCGTGGTCACGGTGAAGGTGGCTAAGTATGACATAATCTATTTCTTCCCTACCCACTCCTATCTGTGTTAGCTCATCAAGCAGGGGGAGCGCTGTGCTACGATGAAATATAGCCCGGTGCTTTGCGCTGAATTTATTACCCGCACCTGCTTCAATGAGAATCTTCTTCCCATCTTTTTCAAGATAGAGTGCATTAAGCGCTGCTGTAATCATATTTTTTTCACTTACTTCTACCTTCTTCTCCCATATAGCCTTTGGTATAGTATGAAAAAAGGCTCCGCCATCAAATGCCATGTACCCATCTCTTAACGTATGAATCTTTAGCCCTCCTAGTGAAAATGTACGTGTACTCATATACAGTTTACCTCCTTAATGTACATTAATGTAAAAAATGTCTTGTGCGTGTACACAGCATAGCTATGTTGTGTATGTTACATACTTCTATGCATTGCGCATCACGTATAGAACCCCCAGGTTGAATAATTGCTTTTATATTACTCTGAGCCGCAAGTTCTATACTATCTGGCATGGGGAAAAAAGCATCAGAAGCCATGACTGCATTCCTAGCTCTTCCTAATTTCTCTGCTTGAGCTAACGCAAGCTGTACTGATTGCACTCTACTCATCTGCCCTGCTCCTATGCCATATGTACATTTCTGTTTCGCGACCACTATGGCATTTGATTTTACATGTTTTACTATTTTCCAAGCAAATAATAAATCCTCAAGTTCTTTCCTTCCTGCTTTCTTTTTTGTTACACACTCAATGTTTCTCTCTGAAAGAGACGTGTTATCGTGGTCTTGCACCATAATAGCACCAGGGAGCGATTGGTAATCAAAAGAATGTTTCTTTCTTGTGCGAAAAGGGATAGATAGTAAGCGTAAACTGCTTTTCTTCTTAAGTATGGCAAGCGCTTCCCTTGTGTACTTAGGGGCTATAATAATTTCTAGAAATAAAGCACTAAGAGACGATGCAAGCTCAGTAGTAAGCTCTGTATTTATAGCAACTATACCCCCAAAAATAGACACGGGGTCTGCTTTGTACGCTAATTTCCATGCCTCTGCGCTATTTTTCGCTACCGCCACAGCGCAGGGGTTACCGTGCTTTACCCCAACAGCTACGGACTCATCAAATTCCAATGCTATATCTAATGCTGCCTGAGCATCACGATAATTATTGTACGAGAGCTCCTTCCCATGCAACTGCCTCGCATCTAGTACTGATGTAGAATGAGCTACAGAATGTCTATATATTGCTGCTTCTTGCTGTGGGTTCTCTCCATAGCGCAATTCACTATGCTTCGTAAGTGAAAGATGGAGTTGCGCTGGGAATTTTACTTGTTTCTTCTTAGCATTCTTGCTTATGCTGTGAGTAAAATATTCTGCTACCTGCGCATCATAGCACGAGGCCATTGAGAATGCTTTCTGTGCCTGCTCTACCTTAAACTCTAAGAAATCTTTTTCCGCTGCTTTTATCATCTGTGCATCATTCATAGATCTACCCACAGAAAGAGCTTGTAGATGATAGAGAGCTGTATCGTAGTCACGGGGATCAGAAATCGCTAGGACGCTTTGGTGGTTTTTTGCAGCTGCACGTAGCAATGCTAGCCCACCAATATCAATATGTTCTATTGCATCAGTTATTGTATGTTTTGCTTCAATGCATTTTTGAAACGGATAAGGATTTACTACAACTACACTAATAGGCTTGGCAGATATCTTTTGTAGGTCCTGCATATCTGTTTTCTGATCGTGTCTTGCTAAGATTCCAGCAAAGATTTTTGGATCAAGCGTTTTTACCCTTCCATGTAGGATGCTTTCAAAATTTGTTACAGAAGAGATTAGTAATGAGGCAATCCCCTTGGAGCTGAGGTACGCAGCAGTTCCTTCTGTGCTTACTATGGTATATCCTAGATCAAGCAAACCTAGGCAAAGCGTTTCAAGAGAATTTTTATCACTTACACTTATTAGGGCGAGTGCGTTATTATCCATTTATAGTAGTTTACTATTCATTCCCATGCGAGAGAGTTCCAGGAACCGTTGAGAGTATCTTGCCCACTTGCTCCATGACAGTGTCATCAATCATATCTGTTTTTTCTGCCGCAGCAATGTTTTCTATAAGCTGCTCTGGCGTAGATGCACCTAGTATGACCGTACTCACCCGTTTATTTTTTAAGCACCACGCTATTGAAAACTGGCTTAGCGGCATTCCAAGTTCATGTGCTAGCACTCCAAGTTTTTTTACTACTTCAATGCGAGTAGATTGGTACTGTTCTATAAATAAATTACGTAGCCACTCATATCCAGGAAGATTTAAGCGTGACTTCTCTGGTATGCCTTCATTGTATTTCCCAGTAAGTAGGCCCGAGGCAAGTGGTGACCATATGGTGGTTCCTAAACCTGTATGCTCGTATAAGGGTTTGTATTCTTTTTCAACTCGCTCTCTATGAAGAAGGTTATACTGTGGTTGTTCAAACAGCGGTGGAACCGCTGAATTTTTTATAGCTATATCATATGCTTCTTTAATTTCTTCTGCTCCCCACTCAGAGGTACCCCAGTAGAGTATTTTTCCTTGTCGAACAAGATTTGTCATAGTTTCTACCACGATTTCAATAGGAACTGTAGGATCATAGCGATGGCAGAAGTATAGGTCAAGATATTCGAGCTGTAGTCTACGCAATGCGGCATGGCAGGCATCTACAAGGTGCTTCCTATGCAATCCCTTTTGAGTGGGGACAGCGGTTGGGGTTCTTCCCCAAAACACTTTACTCGACACCATATATGTATCTCTATCCCAGTTGAGTTTTTTCAGTGCTTCTCCCATAATGCTTTCTGCAACGCCAAACTCATAGACCTCTGCATTGTCAAAGAAGTTTACCCCTCTATCATAAGCTTCTTTTAAGCAGCTCATGCCAATGTTTACATCAATCTGTGGGCCAAATGTGACCCACGCTCCATATGAGAGCTCGCTTACTGGCATGCCAGTATTACCTAAAGTTCTATAATTCATGGTATTATTATACCACAAATGCAAGTGGGATAATGCAGAAAGGTATAGCATCAGCTACCAAGTGGTAGCAATGAAGTCATGGGATATACTACCTGTTGCTAACTATTTTTTCTGTATACCACTAGAGTTCTGCTGTGCCCTGCTTTTGCTCTTATTGGAACTAAAACTAAACAGTTCATAGTGTATTCTTTTTCGTGAAACACCTAAAGAACGGAGCATGGATATGATATATTCTGTAAGATTCTGTGATGCACATATATAGTACTCTCTCTGCTTGAACGTGTTTTTGCTTACGATATCAGAACTGCTAAAGTTTTTACCGAGACTTCTTGAAAATATATGAATGTTGTCTGTAACAGATTGGGCTACATTCAGCACTTTAGTGTAAAATGCATCGCCTTTCTCTTTATAAAACCAGCTAAAGTCTATATCATAGTTATTTTCACTCTGTTGTAGTGCACGAAACATGCTTATAAAGGGAGTGACGCCTATGCCCCCCGCAATAAATGAAATAGCATTGCTGCTTGGCGCCTCTAGGTGGAAATGCCCAAAAGGCCCCTCTATGACTGCTGTATCTCCAATCTTTAGCTCTGATCTCAATCGAGCAGTATAATCCCCTTCGTTTTGTATGGTAATAGCGATAGTGGACTCTGAACTTCTTGAGGAGAAGGAGAATGGGTGTTCCTCCCCTTTTAATATGCCATCGATAAAGGTGAAAAAACCAAACTGTCCTTCTTTATAAGAAAATGCCTTTCCCTTCTTTTGTGAAAACTTTAAAGTTATTATACGCTCGTTTTCAAAAATGATTTCCTCTACACTAAACTGCCTGCGTTTTATAATTTCTGGTTTTATGCATTTATGAAAAAAATATGTGCCAAAACTAATGAAGAAATACCCGTACAGCATAATAGCACTGTATATACTATCCTCTACTACACTAGTACCAAAGATATGTAGTGCTACAAAGAAAGCTGCAACTGCATTGAGGTTATGCAGTACACGGTACTGTCTATAATCAAAGCGTGTATCTAAGAGCTTTTTCACATCCCTAATGAGGGGAAGTCGTGCAATAGGCGTGTTAAGCCAAAAACATACTGATACAATAAGGAGGAAACAGAAAATAATAGCTGCTATAAGACCAAAGAGCGCAGTAAGTGAACCAAGCCCATGCAACAGCCCATGTATAATAATAAGAAGCACAATGCCTATGGTACTCATCCCATGAATTTGCATGATCCTTGCGTATCCTACCATACGTTCTATAAATTTAACACGTGCAGCAGTGATAAACTGGTTCATGAACCAATAGAAAAGAAAGATTCCAGCAACTATATTGCTTGTAATGCCCCCAAGCATTTCTTGTGGATATATTGGTGAGATAGTAAAATAATGTAGTGTTATGCTTGCTATTGGAAGAAGAATATATATGAGGATTAAGAAAAGAATTCCTCTAGTCATTTGCTTTATCAGCACCATTCCTTTAGCACATCAAAGATTTTTGGTGCTAGAGTATGTATTACCAAACGAGCTGCTGGTCTTTCTTTTGAAGATGAGCTTACAATATCGATATCGCTTGGTGGATTGGTGAGTGTGCTTTTACCCCTAGGAAGATATGCTACTAATAGAAGCTTAGGATTTTCTTTGTTTCTTTGAACAAATGGCTGAATCTCTGCTTCTAATCCATCACTTCTTCTTGTATTATGTACAATAACAGCTGCATACTGTGTAAATATATCATCTGTTTCCTTACCGTAATCGATAAATGTCTGTTTAAGTGTTAATTGCCTATCTATTCTTTTTATACCCTTTGCAGTATCCTTAAAAATATATTTCTGTACTTTTTTTGATTTTGAGTTCAAAACATGAGCAATACTGCATGAATCCTTGCCCAGTGTTTCTTGCGTGGAGGATGCAAAAGATATTGATTGCGAAAACAATAGTACCACCACAGTTACTACTAGCACAACTACTATGCTAGATATAGTCCATATTTTTGCTGATTTCATGTATACGTACTCCCTTCTTTTTTTCTTTTTATTTTTATGTACTTACTATAACAAGTGTGCTCGAATAAGTCAAGGGTATTTGTAATAGATATGTGCTGCGTCTATATATATTTCCTAAATATAGTACAATAGTAATGGAGGAAGTATGGAAAGTAATGGAGGAACTATGGAAGCAAAAAATAAAAAATGGCTTAGTACCAAGTACCCACATATCGTATTTGAAGACAATGAAGTTGGACGAATGAAGAAAGAGCTGTTTGAAGCTCCAATGTCTGAAATAGATAGAATATTGGAAGACTACGGTATACCTTCACCGTCAGAGTTAGGTAAAGGCGGATCTTACATACAAACAACACCTCGGTATGAAACAATAGAGAAACGAAGAAAAAACGATGTCCTGCTTATTCCTATAGGATGTTCTGAGAATCACGGCGACCATGCAAACACTGGGCTAGACACATTTATGGTCACACAGATCTGCGAAGCTGTGCGAAGAAAATCAATAAAACAAGGTTGCGAAGTCAATATCACGCTTCCCCCTCTCAATTTTGGAGCCCACCCCTATCATCATATAGGAATGCCTGGCACAGTAATTATCCCATCCGAAACAGTAAAAGAAATGCTTATCTATACAATGCTGGGGTTTTGGAACGACGGCTACAGAAAGATGGTATTGATTAATAATCATGGTCATTTATGGGTACTAGTAGATGCTATTCAAGAATTTATGAAGAGATTTCAACTTCCTGCCATAGTACAAGTCATAGACTGGCATAGAGCAGTGAGGGAATTCTTTTATCCTACAGACGAGGAAGACAGCCTGTCTACACACTTTATACACGCAGCAGAAGCAGAAACTTCTGTAGCAAGATTGTTGTTTGATGAGATGATCAATATGGACTATGTTAAGGATGCACAGGGAGAACAATTCCTTCCTGAAGGACATTTTGATTTGTCTGTAGATCCGTATAGAAGACCACATAGATGGTCGGAAGGAGAGGGTCATTTTGCAATAGAACGATACGCAACACCAGAAGGTGTAGTGGGCACCCCAAGTAAAGGAGAGGCAAGAAAAGCTAAAAGGCCTATTGCGGCAATACTGAAGTATCTTACTATGACTGTGGATCATATATTGCAAACATTTCCTGCAGGTGTATTACCTGATATACAAAAAGTCTCTAATAGAGACTTAAAAGAATTAGAAGCATTTTTGAAGGAGCCGTGGGCTGAAGGGTGGAAATCTGTATATGAACTCCCCCAGGTTGGTCCATTTCATAAAAACTAATATGATAAAACTTGCATCGTGTATTTCATGGGGATGACGGCAAAATTTGACACGGTACCTTTTCGAGGGAATTTTGAGTACCACGCTAAAAGAAGTGCAGAAATAGGGTTTCAAGGAATAGAGCTTGCGATACGAGATCCTTGTAAAATCAATGCAAACATTGTAAGAGTTACTCTTTCTGCATTACACTTGGAACTCTGTGGCATAGCGACAGGGCAAGCGTGGGGCGAAGATGGCTTATCGTTTACACATAGCGATGCGCGTATTAGACAAGAAGCAGTAGCACGCATAAAAAGCCATTTTCCTCTTGCAAAAACCAGCAACGAAAGTGGAAACAAGGCAATTATCATCATAGGGCTTCTACGTGGTGTATTGCAGTCTCGCACAGAAGCATCACTTGTAAAAGCTCATCAATGGATGTATGAGTGTTTTTCTGAATGCTGTGAAGCAGCAAGTAAAGATAATATAAGAATCGCCTTCGAGCCTATCAACAGGTACGAGACAAGTTTTATCAATAATACGGAAGAAGGGCTGGAACTGATAGAAAAAGTAGGGGGAGATAATTTGGGGCTACTGCTTGATACATTTCATATGAACATAGAAGAAACTAATATAGAAAACAGCATACGCCTTGCTGGGAATAAAATATTTCACCTACATTACGCTGATTCTAATCGACATTACCCAGGACAAGGACATATTGATTTTTCATCAATAGTAAACACTTTACAAGCTATAGGATACAAAGGCTATCTTTCTGGTGAGCATACAGGATTTCCTGATCCAGATACTGCAGTTACACAGGCCTATACCTATATGTCATCATTGTTGAAACAAGGAGTACAAGATGAAATATAAAAGAGCATATTTATATGGGCCTCGAGATTTGAGAATAGTAGAAGAAGAACTGGGTCAGCTAGAACCAAATCAGGTTATAGTACAAACTGGTGCAAGTGGAATTTGTGGGTCAGATGTAGAATGTTACGAAGGGCATTCTGCAGAAGGACGATACGACATAGCCCCTTATACTCCAGGACATGAATGGGGGGGTAAGATTGTAGAGGTAGGAAGCAAATCAGGAAAAAGATTTAAGGTTGGACAAAAGGTGACTGGTGACTGTGTAATGGCAGATTGGGTTTGTGAGAACTGCAAAGATGGTCGTATGCCATCAGCATGTATGCATATGAGAGAGCAAGGCTTTAGACCAGATTCTCCTGGCGCTTGGGCAGAATACTTTATTGTAGAAGAAGATTATATACATAAAATTCCTGATTCGTGGACATATGAAAAAGGAGCATGGGTAGAAACCTTTTCTATAGGATACTTTGGAATTTGGGGCAACGGTGGCTACATAGACGCAAGTGATATTGCCATTGTACTAGGTGCAGGACCAGTGGGTATATCAGCAGTTATGGTTGCTGCCATGTCGGGAGCTTTCACCATTGCAGTTGACCCTTTTGAAAAACGCAGAAATATAGCATTGCAATATGGGGCAGAACTTGCTTTAGATCCTAGTCATGGAAATATAGTAGAACAGATTATGGATCATACTCGGGGGCACGGTGGAGATGTGTGTATAGAAGCAAGTGGAAACGATACTGCCATAGCCTCGCTTTTTGACATTGCTGCTCATAGCGGGCGTGTGGGACTTATTGGACATTCTATAGGAAGAAAAGTACCTATTGAAATAGGGAAGACTATATGGAAAACATTGACCATTACTGGATCTGGTGGAACGAAAAATTTTGGGCAGCGAACAGTGCGCTTTATGGATAGAATGGGAGCTGCGTATGACTTTCAAGCACTTAATTCTCACAGCTTCGACTTTACTGAGCTACAAAAAGGGATGGATATAGCCGTACACGATAAAGCAAATGCATTGAAAGTAATGCTTACCTTTCCAAATGTATAACAATATATATTGAGCAAAGACAAAACAATATGGACATAGAATCTTATATCATAAAGAATAATACACAGGAACTACATAGCATAGAAGGCTGGTTGAGTCTCGTGAGTTTACATGCTATTGACCTGCTCTCCGATAGAGCAACGCTTATCAAACTACTTGAAACTCACCATATCCCATGCTATAAAAGAGCCACGTATGAATATAAAGACTGTGTATTCTTGTTTATATATCTGAGTAATCTAAGAGATAGGCGCCTGCTTATAGTCAGTAGTAAGTTATCTTCTATAGAAGACTTGAGATTCAAAGGGGAAACAATTGCGCATGATGGGATCTTTGTACAGGTTTGCCCGACAAACTCACACAATAATAATATCTTACGCACATATGTTCCATATACATCTCCTTCCCCCACACTCTCTTACATTACAAAAAAAGAGAGTGCTATGAGTTTTGGGCTTGGTGATAGACTCGGTATTGCAAGCTTTGGACATCTCTGTTTATTTGAAACAGAAGACATAAGCCCCATACTAGCACAGCAGTCTAAAAGAGAGCTTACGCTTACAGGCAGGACATACGCAGAGATCATAGAAGAGGCTAGCTGGGACGTTTTTGCATTCAACTATAGATTGCCATGGGGGGCAGACGGAGATCACCTCAAAACAGCAAAAGAAATTACTGAGGCACTACAGATGGGCTGTAGCATAATTACCGCAGATCTTTCAGATAGAATCAATGCCAAATATCTCTCATGTTCAGATGAAGAACTTTTACGTGCCTATCACAATCTTAATCCTGATTTTCTGTCATATATAGAAACACAGTATATGGATAGCACAGTACAAATCGATGATGCTTACCACATCCACTTTGAAAGAGCAGACACCATGCGCATAGTCCTTACATATGCTGCTGCTATGGACCTAGCCCAAGAACTATATGCTGCAGTTGACGCATATCTCAAACTGTACAACACTACTACTAATACTACTACTATAGATTTTGAGGTATCCATAGACGAAACATCTGTTCCCACCACTCCTCAGGCACATTTCTTTGTGGCTCAGGAAATGAAGAAAAAAAATATAGTCTTTGCCAGTATTGCTCCTCGATTTTGTGGTGAATTTCAAAAAGGGATCGACTACATTGGAGATATTCATACATTTGAACAAGAACTTATAGCCCACAAAAAAATTGCAGAGTACTTTTCTTACAAAATATCCATACATTCTGCGAGCGATAAATTTACTATTTTTCCTCTTCTGCATAAGCATTTGCAACAAAGGTTTCATATTAAAACCTCTGGTACTAACTGGCTTATTGCTCTTAACACTATTGCTTTGCATGATCCAGATTTATTTAGAACACTGTACCACAGATCTTACGAGCTATTCGCAACTGCAAGACAGCACTACCACATTACTCCAGATTTTAGTCAAAGAGAAGATATTAAAACACTATCAAACAAGCAACTAGGCAGAATATTCGAAAACAACTGCGATAGACAGGTCTTGCACGTTGCATACGGAGAGTTATTCAAAA